TATATATATATATATATATATATATATATATATATATACACACACACACATATATATATATATATACACACACATATATATATACATATATATGTACTTGAAATGTTATTTGTGTCTTATAGAAAATAAAAATATTTCTTAACAGTCATGCATTTTGGTGCAAGCAATTATAGATTAGTATCATGATAAACTGGATTATTTTACATACAATGATTTTTTAATCTGTGTTAAGTAAAACCTTTAAGATATATACAATAGTTAATTGTAGATAAATGTCTACAATATAATGTTTTGGGCATTTTAAAATGCCATTTTTCTAGGTCTTGCATTTTGAAAAAGTTTGTGAGTAAAGAATGTTTATATTTTTCTTAAAGAGGGTGAAAATATTTTAAAAAATAAAAATAAATTTTGGAATTAAATGAAGTTTAACCTATAAAAAATGAGCATATGACTTCTTAGAGAACAGTCAAATAAAATGCAGCTTTGCTGGGCTGACAAAATTAGCTTACTGTTTCCTCATGTGGCAGAAGGGGAGAGTGAGCTTTCTGGGACTGTTTTTATAAGGACACTATTCCCATGTATGAAGGCTCCACCCTCATAACCAATCATCTCCCAGAAGTCTCATGTTTAAATACCATAATGTTGGGTATCAGGTTTCTACATATGAATTTTGAAGGGCAGCAGACTTTCAGTCTATAACATCTTCATGTGAAGAGATTGCTGACTGTCAAACCTGAATTTGCAAAAGTATCTTCATTCTGTCATGGAAAAAAAATATTTTTATTCCCTACATCTTTTTTTATTGAATTTATTGAGATGACATTGGTTAATAAAATTATGTCGGTATCAAGTATACAATTATATAATATACCATCTGTATGCTGTATTGTGTGTTCACCACCCCAAGTCAAATCTCCTTCCATCACCCTTTATGCTTTTCTACCTCCCCCACCCCCTTCCCCCTGGTAATCACTATACTGTTGTCTATGTCCATGACGTTTTTTCTTTTTTTTTTGTTTTGTTTAATCCCTTCACTTTTTTTTACCCAGCCCCCAAATCCCTCCCCTCTGACAGCTATCTGTCTGTTCTTTGTATCTATGAGTCTGTTTCTATTTTGTTCGTTAGATTCCACATATATGTGAAATCATACGGTGTTTTTGTCTTTCTCTAACTGCTTATTTCACTTAGCTTTGTTTAAATTTCTTAAATAATTCTCTTAATTGTATATTGCATACTGCTAGTAGTGAAATGTTGAAATGTTTTGGTTGATCTATTGTTACATAGCAAACCACCCCTAATCTTTGAAGCATAAAACAAGAACCAATTGTACATTACATTTTTTTTAGGTCAGGATAGTGCCCAGCAGAGATAACGATCTTTGCTACACAATGACTGGAGATGGCTGGGGTGATTCAAATGAGGCCTAAAACTGGAATGAACAGAATGTGTTCTTCATATACATATCTAGCACCTAAACTAGAGAGACTGGAAAAGCTGGTCCTCTCTGGGTATTGTACTTTCTTTCTATGCAATCTTTCCACATGGCTATCTTGAGCTTCCTCATAGTATGGCAGTCTCCTTGTAGTCAGACTTGTTTCAATGAAGCAGGTTTTCCCCAGAGTGAGTGTTGCAAGGGAGCAAGACAGAAGCTGCAAGGTTTGGTTGCAGAGGGCCTACCTTATTTAGTGTGGTAGAGGAATACATAAGGGTGTGAATACAAAGAGGTGACTCCATTGCAGGGGATATCTTTGTAGACTGTCTACTACATATAGCAATGCTGCAAACAAAGTACTGCTATTTCTGGTAGAGTTATCACCCTTTCTGGATGTCTTGAGCCTTTTGTTTTTGGAAACCAAATATTTCATCTTTATATTTGACATATATATAAAATATCCTGCTATAATTACCATTTAAGATGATACCTATCTTTGCTATTATAATTACCATAAATTGCTATACATACCATGCAACTATTTTTATTTTTTAGAGTGTAGAATCAATTTAAATGAATTCCAATTCAAAATATTGCCCCTAAGATTCTTTGAAAACATGATTTGCACTTTAAATTTTCTAAGCCTACAAGATTGAATAAATTTGCTGTTATTTACCAGAATATTACAGATATAGCAATATAATTTTGTTATATTTATTCATGCTTATTATTCAGAAAATGAATTCTTGTCAAATAGTCACTCAATAAATCATGTTGAAATGATGATCAGAATTTCCAATGTGCTTGAATGTCTATAAAGGCTGAAAGCCTTTTGCTTTAGAACAAGTGACTTTATTCTGCATCTGGTTGTGCCTTGTTTCAAAATATAATGAAAGCAACTCTGCTGCCAGGTGAAGCAGGTTCACAGAAGCCTGAAATTGTTCCCAAATCAACATAATGTTAATGTGACCTCACTAGATAGATGAAATAATGTATTTTCTAAATTGGATGCATTAAGTAATTATTCAGATCATAGCTGAAACCCTGTAATTTTCTTTTTTCCTTTCAGTCCCAGCGGCGTGTCACATTTCACCTACCAGAAGGCTCTCAGGAAAGCAGCAGTGATGGTGGACTGGGAGACCATGATGCAGGCAGCCTTCCCAGCACATCCCATGCTCTGCCCCTTGGCTATCCTCAGGAGGAGTACTTCGATCATGCTGCACCCAACAACCGCACTGAAGGAGATGGCAACTCTGATCCTGAATCCAGTAAGTTGTACCTCTCTTGTCCTGCAGTATAAGTGGGCTTATTGTTTGCAAGTCAAACAACTGTAGCCATATAACACTGGCCATTTAATTATGTTAATATGAGTTACAAATTTTTAAAAGGGAAAAATACAAAATTAGCTTGAAGGCCAATATGTATCCATTTGAAATGTGTGATATCTACTTTGAATAAAATTTATTATGAAATATAATATAGTTATTTTGTTTAGGCATAGCTAGGATTTTCTATTTATATCTGCATATACATGTATTTATATGTACATAACCAGACATTTTATTTTATTCATTTAATTTATTTGTATACATATAAATTATTTTTATAATTCATGAAAACTATTTTTAGATTTTTTTCTCATAAACAAGAACCATAGAAAATTATTTTTTTTAAGGATATAAGAGATCCTGACTCCAATGCAGAGGAGTTGATTTGAGGTTTCCAATAATGTGCTGAAACCACAAGTCTTATGCCATGTTAGTGTTTAGAAAGATATTCAGATTTTTTCTCCAGACTAAAGGCGTAAAAGGCTATATTTTACAGAAATTCAGTATTTTCTTCAGACTGAAGGCATAAAAGGCTATATTTTACAGAATCCAAAGATGTTGAATTCTTAAAAAGGATCATGAAGCTGATACTAAATACAGAACTTCATTAAATTTATTACCTTTAACATGTATTAAACATCCAGCTTCCTGATAATTTTAGGAAATACAAAATTTGGTAAGGTTATACATATCTCAAAAGATTGAGTTCTAAATATTATAATTTGCTCCAGATATGTTTTTATACATGAAGTGTATGGATACAAAAGAGCATACCATATATGTGCTAGAGAAGAGACATAGGTATAAACCAATATGGAAAAAAGAGACCAAGTACTGAGTATAAACATATAAAATAAATTAATATAAAATAGAAATTTTTAAAAGCTATTTTGAGCATTAAGGTTTGTATAGTGCATACTTTAAACAAAGCATCTAGATCTGAGAACAAAATGGCTTCCCCAGTTTATTTTGTTCATTAGATTCCACATATGAGTGAGATAAAAAAAAAAATGGCTTCCCCATCATTGTGTCTTAATCCTTTATTTTTGAAACACCAAAAATAAAGGAAATCAATTGGTTGAACATTACAATGTAATCTAATACTAAACATACAGAACCAATGACAGCATAACATCAACCTTTTTCTCTCTACAAGAGTAGACATTGGATATTAAAGGTGTTTCAATATAAACACTTTAGAGACTTTAGTCACCAAATTCAGAAAATCCTAAACATTTGTGATGCCTGTATTCAATTTTATACTTAGAATAATTTATGACTCTTTGCTCTGAGGATGACAAATTCTATAACATGCAACACTCTTCTGCCTTTCATTTACTATGTCCAAGAGGACATAATGATTTCTTGTAAAAATACAAAGTTGTGACTGTATCTGCTGCTAAAATAATCTGAGTCAATCTCTAATAACAATACGGTCATAAGTAACAAATATACATTAAAGAAGGTGTCCTTGCTCTTTTTTACTCCATAAATTATTATTTTAATTGTAAGCATATCAGTTCCCACTTAACAGATAAGAATATAGAGTTGAAATGAGCATCATTTCTATAAACTAGAGAGTTGATTCTTTTGCCTATGCCATAGGCAAAGGAACTGCATAGCAACAATGCAATTGCATAGAATTGCATAGCAACAATGAAAGAGTAAACAGAGTAAGCATCCACAGTGTGGATCTCGCCCTAAAATAAACTTTCCAACTGAATGAGACTAAGGTGGGATATTATTGATAGTAACAGGTGCAGAATTGGTATGTGTTAGAAATTATGAAATCTTTAAAATTCAGTACATATTTAGGAAACTGGAGTGGAGAGGAAGGGGTCAATGGGGGAAAAAGGGAGGCCTGTAATACTTTCAACAATAAAGATATTTTGTAAAAAATTCAATACAAGTTTATTGATCCTAATTACATATAATAAATTATATATAATAATAAGTGGCTGTTTTCAAAATACTCAAAGAGTTATTTACAGGACCGGATTTTATTTATAGTTAAGAATGCAAGTGTTAGCAACAATGTATGAGCTAACATACTTAAGAGCTGCATTTTTACTTTGTTTCTACTAGGGACTAAACATTTCTTTCCTCTGATCAGATTAACAATATGATTTTGATTGTTAAATATTTTGTTCATAATTAAAAAATGAGGCAATGACAAAATGTAAGTTAACAAAGTTCTTTATTAATTAGACTTTATTTTAAAATTGGGATGGCTGGAGGCAATAATAATAGTAATACAAATAATATATTTTTGCTAATTTAATAAGCTTATGCAAGGGGTAGAGATAATTAAAAATTAATGTCCATTTCTGTATATGTCTAACAATATTAATGGGTCAATGATAAAAGTTTATTTTTACTGTAATATTAACTACTTACTCTCTCATTAGACCTGGAACTTCCCTCTAAACCATGTTCCAAAAGAATTTATTGATTAAGTGTTCCATTTTGGACAATAAAAGAACTTATTATTACAAGTGCAAGAAACACAATATTTCACTTTACAGAAGTTGTATTATCTTAAAATGGCATACTAGTGAGATTTTTAACAAAGTACATGTGTGCGTTTTGTTTTGATTAAAAAGAAAAAAATAGGTGATGCAAAATTTGCCATAGCAAAATAATCTCTTTAGGCTAATATAGATGATAAGGTACATTGATCCTTCAAAAAAGAAACTCTATAGCTCTGAAATAGTACATAATAATGGGTTTTGTGATATGGAGCAGCTGCCAATAAACTGTGCAGTGTTAGTCAATAGCACCACAAATAGGAATGTAAACTGCTGGAGGAAATAAATGCTGTCCTTAAGCAATGGAATTCATTTATGCAGATCCCATTTCATATTTTGAAATGCATTATATCCTCAATCTACTTTCTTTTCTGCTAATGAATTACCCAAAATATTTGTGAAAATTCCTTGTAACTTCACAAAAACTGAAATACAACTTTTATGAATAAGATTTTCCCCAAAATGCGCTAAAGGGATTTATTAATACTTTAATCTATAGTTCCCAGGTTGATAAATATGTGCTGATTAGATGAATAAATTATGCTATCCATTCTTGCAAGTCTTTTGCCAAGAATCTTAACTTTCCTTTTTAAGATAAAGAAACAAGCAAATGCAATCCAATTATTTCTCTTTTAGGAGAAAAGTTTAATAAAACATTTTGTTTAATTTCATTTGAAAGCGTTTTGAATTTTTAAATTTCACAATTGCAATCTTCTGACTTTAGCCTTTGCATGAGTCACTTAATGCCATTCTGAAATTTTGTCTTTCTTGGCTAACAGCCTCTGTTCCAGAGCTTCCCTCCCACTGTCACTCCATCGAATAATGTGTACCATTTCCAAGGGACCTTGTTCTTCGAAGCTAGTTATTTTGGTAGAAACAAACAAACAGAAGTCCAATTCATAAATAGCATTATTGGTCGATTCTGGGTTACTGTGGATTCTGGGTTACTGTCTTGCATTTTCAAAGGCTTTTGTGGAGACACACAAAGGTGTGGCCCTAGTAGAGAACAGGGTGTGACTGTGTACTGCTAGGAATTTTATATATCAAGATGTACTATTCATTGAGAGATTTTAGGTCAGTGTGATCCTCTTGGGAATACTCTAAACACACTAAACTACATATGGCTCAATATTCATATCTACTTGTTTATAAGTAGCATTAGATAAAATATAATTTATGAAGAGAAGAGTTAATGCTTTCCAACTTTCTTTTTAAAAATATTGCTCTGATATTATAATTCAGGATAAGTTCTGACACACATGCAAATATTAGCTAAGGTCTACATGCTAAACTTCAGAGATTTTTGACTAGTTCATATATATGAATTCAGATATGTGTGTGTGTTTTCTCTTAAATAGAAAATGCATTGCTACTCACTCACTATGGGTGAGTTAGAGAGAAAAAGGTACCTTCTAAATTTCTAAAAATCTACTGGCATATTATAATTTGAATGATCATAGATAACATTCATGTTTCTTTGGAAGAAAAATGGTAAAATAGAACGTCTTTTATGAGATTCAAGTCAGTCTTCAGTTTACCAGCAGTAAGTCAGTTCATTTTCAGAGAGAATTCTCTTAAGTGAAGGGGGAAAAGGTCCTAGTTTAATCAGTGTTTTAATTTTCTTTGACTGCCAAAGTTATGGCATCTGCATTTTTTAAAACCTTTCCCTGGATATGGTCATTTCACACATGAAGTCACTCTATCTGAAAATGTTACAGCTGATCTAATATCTAAAATTTGAGCTTAAAGTAACAATACTTATGTGTAAAATTTCATCACCTTTTAAAAAATGTTAATGCCTTTTTTCACATTACAAGTTTCTATGATACAAAAGAGAAAAAAAAAAAAAAAAGTTATCCAAGAGTATTTAGGACTAAGGAAGTTCAACATTTAAAATAAGGAGGAATATATTTTTTCATTAATGTAAAAATGACAAATCTCTCTGCTAAACTATATCTCAAGTTAACATGTCTTTGACATTCATTTTTCTTTCGCTAGATCAGGTTTGCTTAGCGCTCTAATATGGTACTAATTAATTCACAAAAAGGAAGTAATTAATCTTTCCCTGGCTACACACTTTGATTGATCCTTACCAGTAATCTAATTACATGTTATAAAAAGTGGAAGACCAGTTTGATTGACTAGGATACTACTCAGAGAAATGCCAAATTTTGTCTTGGTCTGCTGAGACTGTTGGCATGAATAATATTAGAGTAATTATTAGTTAAACGTTTGATTAGTTAAATATCTAATTCTGAATGTAGACAATTGGTAAAATTAAAAGGAAAACGATGAGCCTGGCCTGTGTGGCTCAGTGGTTGAGCATCAACCTAGAATCCAGGAGATTGCGGTTCAATTCCTGGTCAGGACACAGGCCCAGGTTACGGGCTTGATCCCCAGCAGGGGGCATGC